TCTTTAAATAATATTTATGATGGATCTGAAAATATATGCCCTCTTTAAAATATTGTATATGTTGCAGAGATTTTAAACTAAATATATTCTACCACTCCATATTAATTTTGTCAAAACAAGATAACCTATCAATATCAAATTTGTCAAAATAATACAACCAATCCATCATTTTTGTTAAAATAATATAATTAATCAATTTTTAATTTGGTCAAAAAGTGAATAGTGATTAGCCTCAATTTTCAAAAAGTGAATAGTAAAGTTTTCAAAAATATTTTTATTTAACTAATATTTAACAAATATATATATTTTAAAAAGATAATATTTTGTATCAAATAAATATGTACATTAAAAAATCTAAATTGTTACAAATAATATTTTAGGCATCAACAAAAGTAAATAATACAAATAATATTTTAGACATCATCAAAATTAAATAATATGATTAACAAGTTTTGAAAACTCTTTTAAAAACTCATAACTAAATAAATTTTCTTATTTCACATGTCACATCAAATATTAAAAACTCAATTCAACATTCAACTCAAAACTCAATTCAAAACTCTTTTCAAAATTCATAACCAAACAAATTTTCTACACTCAATAAAGTATTGAATTGAGTTTTGAATTGTATGTGGAATTGAGTTTTGAAAGTTTGATGTGACATGTGAATAAGAAAATTTGTTTGGTGATGAGTTTTCAAAATAGTTTTCAAAACTTAATTCAACCTATAATTGATAATCAAATACACAACTCATAACTTGATATCTGTATTTTTGATCAACAGTCAAAACTATTTTTAAAATACTCAAATAAAAAAAATATTTTTTTTTCAATTAATTGTTTTTAAGTAATTTTTTTGAATATTTTTTTTTTTCAAATAACTTCTATGTCAATTATTTTATGTCAACTAATTTTTCTATCAATTCATTTTTTAGGCATGTATAAACATTAAAAATATTAAAAATATTTTAAAATTATTCAGAAAATTAAAATATTAAAAATATTTCAAAAAATAAAATATTAAAAATATTCCAAAAATTAAAATCTTAAGAATATTAAAAATATTCCGAAAATCAAAATATTTACAATTAAAATATCAAAATATTAAAATTAAAATATTAAAAATATTCCTATAAAATAAAATAAAATATTTAAAGTAAAAAAATAAAAAATATTTAAAATAAAAATTAAGTTGTTTTTGAGTTTTGAAAAGAGTTTTGAATTGTGTGTTTGGTTGTGAGTTTTGAGAAGTAATGATTATAGTTTAAAATGAGTTTTGAGAAATAGGTGTAGAATTATGATTTGAAAATTGCAGCCACATACCACACTAAAATCAGTTGTGGAACTATGTTTTGAATCTAAACCAAACAGAGAGGTTTTGTTTGTGAACAAGTTATTTTAGTAACTTTGTAACTTTTTACGAAAAGATATGTAGAAAAGTAGAAAGAGTGATGTGACAACTTGTAGTGACTTTTTAGTTAAAATGTATAGTTGACAAACGAGGCCTTAATTTATCATATTTAAAAATAATCTATAATATTGTGTCTAACAAGTGTCAAATTTTAATTTGTCAAATATTTTATCTTGTGGAATCTAATCTCAATACTATATCATTAGGGATCATTTAGAGATAATAAATTATAGGATGTAACATTGATTTTTTTTAATGGTGTAAAAATCATGTAAAAAAATAGCAAGAATAATTAATTTTTTATAGTAATATTTTAAAATTTTAATTAAAAAAATATATATATGTTGTCAAAATAGGCTTAAATAACTAGTTAATCTACTTTGTTACCAAACCAACAAAATCTTGTGTAAGGTTAGAGCTCAGACTAAAGTCTCGTTCGGGTAAATCAATTAATGAAGTTAATGTTTCACAAAATATCATAAAAAAAAATTTCTTGACATCTCTTAGAAAAAGAATATAAACATGCAAAAAATTTTCTAAAATTTCATTTTTTTTATTATACATAATCATTAATAAGAATTTGGTTTTTTTTTTGCGATTTTGATATTGATAAATCCACGAGTCTGTCTAGAGATTCATTTGGAACAATTGAATTTCCTTGGACTTTTTCTTTTTAAAAACCAAAAAAATTTATGTCAAAAAAATAGATGTTAAGAAGAATAAAAAGCATTGAATACGTAATAAATCTTGAAGGACTATTTTTGCACCACCCTAACCAAATCCACCTACATTAGGATTACTCGTTAAGCATCAAAGGTTGAATGTCAAGTTTTGAAATATCATTGAGAAATAAGAATCCGTATTATCAAAGAATTTAGTCTGCTTTTTTTTTCTTCTTTCTTTCTTTCTTTCTTTCTTTCTTTTTGAATATTGACTTGTTCCGAGTAAAAACCCACTGAATTGAACGGGCTAAAGGAGAATTACAAGCCTTGAGCCAAAGGATGACCCTTATGCAGTGACGTAATGTGTCCCTTGGAAGCCCTATTTGTCCCACTTTGTGTTTGGAACGAAAGAATTTTACGGTTACATAGACCTTCCCTAACATGAAGAATCAAAACTGTGAAAACATAAATAAAGTAAAAAGAACCCAAAAGGAAAAAAAAAAAGAAGCACAAGAACAGGGAAAGATATTGAGTGCAGAAGAAGCAGAACAAAAGAATCAAATTCAAGTTTTTTTTTTTTTTTTTTTTTTCTTCCCACTCCTTTTTACTGTTGTTGTTGTTCTTGCAAGTACAAATCTGCAAATGAGTATAGAGATGTGGACATTCAAGCACATATGATATTTAACCCTTACGCTTCTAATTCAAAAATACTCCATTTGTTTCTTTTCTTTCTTTGTACCAAAAGAAACAAAAAGATAAAGCAAAATTAAAAAGAAAAAGAAAAATACAAAACAAAAGAACTTCCCTGATTTTGCTGCTTACACCAACTTATATTTGATGCTTCTTCCTCCAACATTCAACACCCTTGACTCTTAAGGATAAGAATCACCATAATTACCTTTTGAACAACTGCCCAACTACTTTTTGTTTTTTTGTTTTTGGTTTTTGTTTTTGTGACAAGGAACCTCTCTATGATAAAGTCACATTGGATATGTCCTTACAGAGTAAATTCTAAATATTTGTAATCAGCCGCAAACCACGTATATTAATTAACAATCGTGAAACTTAGGACGTTCAAATTTACAATTCATTCTAAACCAAAGATCCTTCACTATTGGATTACCCGGATGAATTCTCACCCAATTTCGTTATCAACTTGTGACACTTCAATGGCATGTAATCATGCATGAAATTGTTCTAATTATGTATGGAGTACTAATGGAGCAACTAAGCATCTCTTAGCCTTAAGCTTCATTTATCAACTATATATTTTAATCAAAAAGTTATTATAAGTTGTTACATTACTTTCTCTAATTTTTTATACATCTTTTCATAAAAAGTTAAAAAATTACTAAAATAGCATATTCCTAAATGAGGCCTTAGTGTAGTTCAAACTTTTTTACTAAAAGAGAAAATAAGTTGATTTCTCTTGAACTAAAAAAGTCTAAACTAAACAAGGCCTCAATGATTTTACTGTTGCGTTTTAACATCTCAAAGGTGAAAAAGCATTTGAATTAGCTTTATATTCATTTGTAAACAGCTTTATCTAATTCTCTATGCTTAGATTAAGCAACAATTATTCCATAATCAAGAATCAATTCCATAGAGTACATGTACCTCACATGACACATCACTTGAAATTTAAAGCTATATGACATATATATGCTTAGTGATATAAAGTTTATATAGAGGCATACTAGTGGAAGATGCAAATGGATATGGATGCTACTTAAGCTAAGCATGTTCTTTCATATGAATATAATTAATGGGCTGCAATAATTCATATAAATAGCACTAGAGAATTTGTTCCTTATCCATCCTTCATAAACACCAATGAATTTAGAGAGGAAGTTATTCCCTCTATCCTGCTGTACCATTTCTAACAATTTTCCTCCAATAATCAAGCATTGACATCCCAAAATGCATGTTTTTAGTATTTTAAACTCGGCTGCTTAAATCTTAAACCTGATTCCTTAAACGACTAATTCTTATTATGAAACGAAATCCCTAGATTTTGAGTGAAGATTAGGATTACTGTAATTACAAACTTATTCCCTTATTCCTTTACTATTTACTTGAAATCCCAAAGCTTACGTAATCTGAATTATAGAACATAATTCTTAGAAAGGTGAAATATTTTCATTGCAAAAGAAGCTACACAATTAGAAATATGTAGGCACAAATAACCAATCTTCCTACCCTAACATTGTCTTATTAACAGAACTAACCGTTGGATAAGTCATTTTCCAAAATCATCTTCTCTTTATTTTGAATCATGAAGTATGAGAATAGTGATTTAGCATCTGATTGATCTGCTATATGGGATTTATTTGATCATTTTGGACCATTAAGCACATATATGTTAATTTTGTATGGTACATGCCATGGTCATAAACAATTTGCACATGACCATTTTTGTGGCATGATAGTACCTAGCTAGATTGTGATCTCACATAAAGTGAAAATTCGTATTCTCTTTGTGGGACATGGACTCATGAACCAATATGCCTTGTGTCCCTCCTATCCCCCTCTTCACTTGGCTATTCCTATATAAATAATAAATAATAAATAATGACATATAAATTTTAAAAAAAATTATATAAAAAATATATACAAAATGATGTGACAAATTTGCATTCATATTTCAAATCAAAATATCTATTAAAAGAATACTACTGTTATATCATTTTGATTAAATTTTTTATATAAATTTTTTTTAGGGATCATTTTCCTTTCTATATGCACTCATTTTCCACTATCACAACCATCCATAAGCATAAATCCCTCTTTAGTTGCTTCAACAACAAGCCACATTATAACCCTAATTAGAAAATCTAATTGTGACCTTACATGGATTCTAATCACTTTTACATATTCTCATCCATCAACCAAACCATCACAAACCACCTCTATATATATTACTCACCTGAATTATAAGCCACTGCCTAGCTAGCTACCAAAACCATGAAATACAATGAGATAACTCATTTCAGCCACCCACAACACAAGCTCAAGTTTGAGTACACAGAAGTTCCATTCAAGTGTGATGGTTGCAAAGAAGTTGGCATAGGCTCAAGATACAAATGCTCCAATAACAACACTTGTGACTATGATCTCCACATCCACTGTGCCCTCCCTTCCCCTTCTCTCTCCCACCCTTTCTACACCAAATGCTCTTTCCAATTCCTACCCCGCCCACCGGGCCCCACTCCCCGCTACTGCAACGCCTGCGAAAAGGACATCACCGGCTTCCTCTACCATTGCAAGGCCTGTGGATTCGACCTCCACCCATGTTGCGCGAAGCTCCCCATGGTGCTCGATGACGGTGAAGTGAAGTTGTACCTGTATAGGAAGGTTAGCGCATCGTGTCATCGGTGTGGGAGGAAGGGGAGGAGTTGGAGTTACCGGTCGAATTGCAAGAAATATAACTTGCATGTTGCTTGTGTGAAGGAGATGTTGGTGGAGTATTGGCATGAGATATATTTTGGGGGTGGTGGGAGTGGGGGAAGAGGAGGGAGCGAGAGGAAGTTGGAGACTAGAATTCCTAGTTTGAGAGGTACACTTCAGACCCCTCATAATAGGAATAGGGGCAAAGGGAAGTGTTGTCAGATGGCTGCTTTGGCTGTCCAGTTTGTTATATCAGCTGTTCTTGGTGACCCGACTACCCTCATTGCTGGGGTTGTTGGATCATTGATGTCTATGTAGTGCAGTTCGGTTACAATCCGTAAACTAAATACAGAATCGAACATAAAATATGCGGATGATAAGATTTTACAAAGTTTGTTGGTGGGACCTACTTTTGAAAATCTTGTCAATTCATATACATTCTATGTCCGATTCTGTAACTTGTTTTTGTATCACTAAACTTAATACCGGATAGTGAGGTGGGTTGGTTTAAAATGTAGACGTGGCTATTAATAAGTTTAAAAACATAGAAACTAAATATAAAATTGGACTTGTGAAATATATGAATAGACAAGATTTTATTAGATTTATTAGTTGAATCTATTTATAAAAAATCATGTCTATCAATATATATTTTTTTATGTCTAATTTTGTATTTTATTTTTGTATTTTTGAACTTATTGTGTTGATGTTAAAAGTTATAGCTTTGTTTGATGAAGATTTTGGTTTGGAGAATGGTGGATAAAGGTCCATATATGGATCTAATGTGACTTGTAAGTTGTAACCTACTTTTCTGATAATGCACCTTTTAAATATTTTGTTTGATATTGATATCTGTTCTTTCTTTCTTTCTTTCTTTCTTTCTTTCTTTTTTTTTTTTTTTTTTTTTTTTTTTTTTTTTTTTTTTTTTTTTTTTTTTTTTTTTGGGATGGGGATTTTGATCTTGAGACTTAATAGCTTGATGTTACTGTTATTGCAAAGTAAGTTTCATTGAAGGCCAATTTAGGCATATCAAAGTGACATAAAAAAGAAAAGAAAAGACAAAAGTGATAACATAACCATCAAAATGGTCTATATATTCAATGATGTGAAATTTACAACATAAACAATTGGCGGCATGCAATCCTCTATCCAAAATTTTTTCTCAAGATCCTTTGTCAAGAAATTTTCGTATCCCCTTGCATCATCGTGTGAGTATGATTGCGAAATACTTGAGATAAAAACACAACATTTTTCAGAATGAGAATCTAGATTTAAAAATAAATATTAAGCGTAAAGATTACACAATTTTACGTATCATGACCAATAAATATCATAAATGAGATTATATGGGCACTTATTTATCTCCTACTAATCTAAACAAATAATCTCCATGATAGTCATATAATTTTTTTTATTAATAGATACTATTGTTATATAATAACACCATTCTATCAAATATTTATTCTGAAATCAACATCAACATTCCTATATTCTTTGCCTCATGTTGTAATCAAAGTTAAGACTGGCTTATGAATCTATTGGTGGCTCAATTTAGGTCTGTTTCGGAAATAAGAAAAATGCTAATTTTTTCGTGTTTTTAGTTTTTTTTTTTTTTGACTTTTTTTTAAAAAATATACTAAAAAAAATGATGTGACTTAAAAAAATTAATAAGTCAATAAATTAATTTTTTTTCTTAATTACCAAAATAGGCTTAATCTTAAGTTTGTGGCATAGTGGTCCTTAAACAAATGGAGCTGAAATGGCCGCTCTCCTATTCTTGAACCCAAGTCACATCTAGTTTTTGTAAAAAAGTAAAAGGAGCTCAATAAAATACATAATATATCAAATTAACAACATTATTTGGGAACTCTTTTTTAATAAAGATTATATTAGGGTATTTACAATAGAATAGTTAAAAAAGTGTGTTAAAGTATGTTATATGATAAAAAGTAATAAAAGTGGGACCTAAAAATATGTGTTAAGGTGTGTTAAGAGTTTGTTAATTTTAGAGAGTGAGTGATGGTACAATAGATGTGTTAAGGGGTGTGTTAAGATGTGTGTTAAATATATATATATATATATATATGTGTGTGTGTACATAATAAATAAAATAAATAAATAATTTAATTTAATCAAAAATTTCAAGCTCAAAATTAAATTTTAAGTCTAAAAAAAAATCCCAACAAGTTAAAAAAAAAATTAAAAAAAAATTGCCGTTGACCGTTCAACCGGCCGGACATCCGGCCAGTCAATCTGTAAGAACAGAAATACACTCCCCTCCGCTAGCTAAAACCATCACTGCAGATAACAAACGTTTTAACACACACTACTAACACGCCTACTAATAGCTCCATTGTAAGACCAAAAATAAAAAATAACTTGTTAAAAATTAACAACCGACACTAAGACCGTGTTTAACTACTCTGTTGCTGATGTTCTTATAACTCAATGAATTACTCTCATTTATTCTACTTTGGAACATCAAATCAACCCTTTAATTAAGTTAAGTGTGGGCTGTCCTCATTCACACTTCAATTCAAAGACCTTTCTCTATTCTTCCTTGGACTACCCCCAGGACTCACCTTTTTTTTCTCCAATAATTTTTGATATAATAATCTTGTCATGATACTTTAAAATTATATTTTAAATTTAAATTATTATTATAAAATTATTACACAAATTATTAAAGATAATTCTAACCTCAACATTAAACTCCATAACTATTTTGTGTACCTAAATTAAATCCTATAACTATTTAATATAGGCATAATGGAAGAATTATATATATTTGAGGCTCTTCGATGTCTAGCCTAAACAATGAATGCTTGTCACATCACCACTTTATGTTAATTAACAGTTTAGATTTTGTTTATGTATTTGCAAGAAAAAAAAAATTTGTTTGGAATAATTTAAAATAAGTATATTTTTGACTTTTTATAAAAAAAATATAAAAAAATAAAGAAATAATATTGTTAACACCATAAATCTGCAATTTTTATTATTATTTATTATTTATATAATTGCAGGACACGTGGCATCCTCTTATTCATTTGGAAGTTAAAGGAAGTTATAAAGATAATGGAGAATATGAAGGACAAAGTGGATGAGTGGGAGGACAAAGTGGATGAGTGGAATGACACATGGCAAGACAAGAATGAAGATGGAAGAAATGGGTAGTTACTAAGTAGTTATTGCTGTATTTTTTCTTCTATAAATAGCCATTAATGGCTATATTGTAAAGGATCCAGAATTCATAATCAAAGACACTTGATTTCAATATTTCTTGTTATTTTCCTTATCTTAGGAGTAGTTTAACGTAGATTTATATTTCGAAGCATTTATTTTCAGCATTTCCATTTCGAAGCATTTTATGCACTTTCTTTTCGAAGCATAGGAGTAGAGGTAAGTAATTATTACTTTGATTGTTCACTCAATCATCTTTCTCCGTTCCCCATTCTTCTTTTAATTTTTCTTTTCTTTACACTTGGCAATCTTGAAGTCCTCTTCGTTGAGGCAAAAGAACCGTCAACACAATCGCTTGATAATTGGCTTGAATTTAATCTGTAAGGATTTTTCAATCCTTGCTGGCACGCTCGCATTTATGATATTTTCCTTCGTAGGAAAAATAAGCCAACATTTTAGCCAACAAATATGATCTAAAAAAGATAAAAAAAAAAAATATGCTTATATAGCACATCCCATATTAGTAGATAAATCTAAAAAGTAATTTATAAAATGTATCGAGATAACACAATTTGAAATAAATAATGGTATTAATCATGAAAAAAATATAAAGATAATATAAAAGATTATTTATTTTTAAATTATACATATAATAAAACACTATATACTAATTAAAAAATAAAAAATATTTATAAAATATTTTATAATATTTTTTCACCATCATAATAGTATTATTGATTTGAAATCTCAGACTGTTCTCTCGTACACATAAAAAAAAAGGGTTAATTACACTAATAGTTCCTATAATTTGAGACTTATGTCATTTTAGTCCCTGACTTTTCAATTGTGACACATTTGACCCTGAATTTTAAATCTTGTTCCAAATAAGGACAATTAAAAATATCATTAAATTTTTCAAGAGTAAAATCGTCAATTTAATAAAATATAAACTAATTTAACAAAAATAAATGTCAAATTTTTTTTTAATTTTTTTAAAATTATTTTTATCCACCAAGGATAAAATTATGTAAAATAAATAAAAATTATATGATTAATTTTTTAAAATTAATTTTACATGATTATCATCCAAACACATAATAAAAATTAATTTGGTAAAAATAAATAAATAAATGTCTAAAAGATTTATCAATTTTACATAATTTTATTTTTAGTAGGTAAAAATAATTTTTAAAAATTCAAAAATATTTGTTTGACATTTATTTTTGTCAAAATAGTTTATATTTTATCAAATTGACAATTTTACTCTTAAAAAATTTAATTATATATTCAATTGTCCTTATTTGGAACAAGATTCAAAATTTAAGATAAAATATATTATAATTAAAAAGTCAAAAATCAAAAGTGATATAAGTCTCAAACTATAGAGACTATATATGTAATTTACTCTGAAAGAAAACATTTTACTTTAGTAAAGACGAAACCTCGAACACGCTCAAAACCAAAAAAAAAAATAGTTATATACAGAAGGTTGTTGTCGACTGTTTGACAGTTTCGTACTTGTTTCAATAAAAACGCCAAACAAGTCCCTAAAAAAATTAGTAAAGATCTCTTTTCACTCATAGGTTATTTGGGATGACCTAAATAAGTATATTTTTTGTCTTTTTACGAAATGATATGTAAAAAAATAGAGAGATGATGTGATGAAAAAAAAATAAAAAGATAAAAAGTGTGTACTTATTTAGGATAGCCAAACTTAACTTAAAATTTTTGTCCACTTATCCTAAATTACTCATAACTATTATTCATTTAAAAATTTTAAGATTCAAAAATTCTAAAATATATCTAATTATTATGAGTGATTTGACATGAAAATACAAAATTTTGAAGATAGAAGACCCTTAGGCCTAAAAAATCAGCAAAGATCTTTTAGAGTGTTTTTTTCTTAAAGTTTTTTAAAGTGATATATTGTGTGGTTGAGATTTAATGTTAAAAAAATGATATGACTTGTTATTAAATCTCAACTATACAATACACCACTTTAAAAAATTTTAGAAAAAAAAAAACCCTAGAGGAAGCTTGCTCCTAATAACATACATTAGTCCAAAACCGACGACAAATACGACGTAGTAACAACGAAATTAAGAAATACAAACAAACAAACGACCCATCCGAAGACGCATCTATCTACCGTATCTATCTGTATATCTCTCCTCTTTTCTCTATCTTCCAAGTCTCTAAAATGAAACACATATCTGAATTCTAATCTCTCGCCATTTGATTCAGTCCATTTTTTTTTATAACTCAGTATCTGACCCACTAGATTAACTAATTACTACTCAAGGATGGGAAACTGTAACTCGGACGAGTCAACCTCTGTTGTTACCACGACGGCGAAGCTGGTGTTCTTGGACGGAGCACTTCAAGAGTTCTCGTCGCCGGTGAAAGTCTCCCACGTGCTTCAGAAGAACCCGGCGTGTTTCGTGTGTGACTCGGACGATATGTACTTCGATGACTTTGTTTCAGCGATGGATGGGGAGGAGGAGCTTCGGTTAGGGCAGCTTTACTTTGCTCTGCCGTTGAATTGGTTGGGGCAGCCGCTTCAGGCGGAGGATATGGCGGCTTTGGCAGTTAAAGCCAGTGTGGCTCTTGAAAAGAGTTGCGGCGGTGGCGGTGGCGGTGGCGGTGGCGGTGGCGGTGGCGGGTTAGTGGAAGAGAGAAGAGAGAGGAGAGGTGGTGGTGGTAGTGGTGGCGGTCGTCATAAAGGGCGTAAGTTCACCGCAAAGTTGAGTGTGATAGAGGAAGATTGAAGAGTGGGAACGGACAAATCAAGATAACTTGCACATAAATAGATAACATAATTGAAAAAAATTATGTATGATTTTGTAATTTATTTTTAGACTTTTTTTTTAACAAGGGCAAGGTGGTTTTCTCTAGTTGGTTACTTCTCTCTATCTCACCAGAAATGGCCTATGCTACTACTGTTTGGTAGTAGTGTCTTTTAATCTTTATAAGAGCCTAAATCAAGTTCAACTTGATTGTGGGTATGTATCACTTATTAAAGCCATTAAAGATTGCTCACCTTAAATTTGTACATAACTTTGTATGAGTTGGCAAATGACTAGCTTGAAGAAATTGATGAACGAGTTTTGATATCGATATTCACCTACATGAGTCAATATTATCTAGTATTGATATATGATTATATCATCGATACTAAATCTAATACTACTATTTTAAATTGTATTGAAGTTTTATAGTGATTAATTTGTAGCAATGAGTTTATTATTGACAAAAACCTAATCAGAAGTACACATTTTTTTTCCGTTCACTTTCAATCAAAGTTATGTTTAGATTAGCCCCTGAGATTTGGTTCAATTACATTTCACCCCTTACATTCTGAAAATTACATCACCATTTCTGTAGTTAATAGCCTCATTTCACAAGCCCCTACTTATATAAAAGACAACAACTCCTAATAAAAAAATAGAGAAAATTACATTAAAAAAAAGAAAAGAAAATGAAAAAAAAACAAAAAACAAAGGAAGTAAAACAAAATAAGAAAAGAGAAAGTGCATGAATTTAATGTCTTCGTTTTGTCTAGATAATTACAATGACAGGGAGGTTAATGTAATTTCTCAAATCTTAGGGGTTGATATGTCTTAAATCCAAATCTCAAGGGTGTAAGTGTAATTTATCCTTTAAATTATTTTCTTTTTCTTTTTTTCTTCACAATATATATATATATATATATATTTTTTCCATCTAAATCCCAAATTGAAAAGCAGCCTTAAAGGAATCCCAAAGCTTGAATCTTCAATCATATTCCAACCTGCCCAACAGATTGCTCATTGATTTTAATTTCCAGTACACACATGTATAAACTTTTGACATATTGAACTACCAAAAATGATATTCTCGTTTTCCTGGGTACCAAACACTGTCATGTCAAGGTCCAAAACAGTGAAAGCGTGCATCACATGGTTGATTTTGCTTGCAAGAAGAGATTCGAAGGAGCTCTTGGGATACATGAACTATCTTTATGCCAAACGGTATAAACTGTAATATGTCATGTGTACAAAAAAATTTAAAAATAAAATAAAACTTTATCATAATTATGCAGCAATAACATTTTTGAAAAGAAAAATTAGTAAAATATCCCTCTCCAATTTTTTGGAATAGGAGAGGTTCAAAATAATTTTTTTATTAGCTAAGGTCCCTCAATATTTTCCTAGTGAAATTTCGCCTGACTCAAAGAAAAAAATTAAAAAATTTCTAAGTCAGAGCAAAATTTCTTTGAGCCAGACAAAATTTCTTTTAGTCGAATTTTCTCTGTGAAGATGTTGAGGGACCTTAACTATTATAAAAATATTATATGTCATTTATCTTATAAAATTTTAATATCAGGGATCTTAAAAAAAAATTCTTTTTTAAAATAATAAATTATTTTTATGAGAGGTGCTAGGCTTCAGGAAAAAACCTTCAGGAAAACCTTCAGGAAAATAGAGGAAAATGGAGGAGAAGGAGGAGGAGGAGGGGGAGGAGGAACTGGAGGGGGCCATCAAAATGGAAGGAGGCGGAGGCGGAGGCGGGGCTGGGCAGAGGCGAAGGCGGGCCTGGGTAGAGGCTGCGACGGCGGGCTGGGCAGACGACCGACCGCGGGGCTGGGCAGACGACCGACCGACGGCGGACGATGGCAGCTGGGCAGACGACCGAACCCCTCCAGTTCCTCCTCCTCCTCCTCCATTTTCCTCCATTTTCCTGAAGGTTTTCCTGAAAATTTTTCTTGAAGCCTAGCACTTTTCTCTTTTTATTAATCTTTTAGTTAAAGTTGGGTAAAGACCACAATTAGCCAGTCAAATAGAAGTCAAAATTAACCCGATTTTATTGAACTGTAATATCACATAAAATGATAAGAAAATGATATATAAGTTCACTTTTTAAACTCACTTTCTAAATTCAATAATATGTCAAAAGATGATTGATAATTAAAATAATATTACTGTTTCACTCAATATTTATTTCTAACAAAGGTAATAAGGTTAGTGTATCGTGAAGGCCCATGTGAGCCATACCAAAAAGTTTAAAAAGTAAAAAATAAAATGAATGGCAATGAATGTATTGACTGTTGGTGATAATTACAAATAAAATACTAAAAAATAAGAATAATAGAAATTACAAAAACTATTATAAGGGTTGAGGCGTGGGAAATTCATTCTCTTTAAAGAGATTCAAACCATCTGCGGTTAGGCAAAGCCTCACACCGGTGCAGCAGAAAAAACCTTGACTTGTTCCCCCAGGATACAACAGCTCGACTAAGTCGTATGGTTTACCAATACTGCACAATTGGTTGAACCCAAAGTTTTATCACATACACCTTTTTTATTTGCCTAATAATCTCACTTAAGACATAACAACACAACTAAAACTTCTTCTCTCATATGTTTCAAAATAGGAGATAAGCTCAATATATATAGAAAGGAAACTTAATAGGCAAGGTTCTTGGTGGATAAGATAACAAGAGACTTGACCAAGACCTTGGAAGCTTATTTAGAAAGACTTGGAATAGATAAGTCTTGGGAAGACTAGGAGAGGATTTGAATGGATAAGTCTTGGCAAACCTTATCTTGGAAGATTTGGATGGATAGGAATGGGGAGACTAGGAAGACTTGTTTAGGAAGTCTTGGAGACTAGAATGGGAAGCAAACTAGGTAGAAAAGAAAAGAGAAACAACCTATGACACATTATAATATTAAAATGCCTGCTAACATTCATAATTATTCCCAAGGGTGGAACTAGGAATTAGATCGAGGAGGGGCAACATATATGCATATAAAATGTAGAATTAGTTTTGATACATTATTGATTTAACATAATGTCTTATATAATTATTGCGAAAGAAATATTTTATGAGAAAACTAAATAATCTAACAAATAAATTTTTTAAATTTTTAAAAGTTTTGAACTGTTGATTAAATCTCACTCTACAATCAGTTAAACGATGGGAAGACTTGGGGGAGACTAGGAAGACTTGTTTAGGAAGTCTTGGAGACTAGAATGGGAAGCAAACTAGGTAGAAAAGAAAAGAGACACAACCTATGACACATTATAATATTAAAATGCCTGCTAACATTCCCCTACCTATTTTAATATTATAGGTAACAAAAATTGAGATTATTAGGCAAATAAAGATATTATGCATCATGGTAGGTGTGCTCTGCATTGAACCTCCATTAGTGAAACAATAATATCTACTCCAGAGCCAATAGTATGCTCAGCATTGAACTATGACTACATAAGGGAAATAAATAATTATTGCATACACATAATATTCCAAGTGTTTACAAAAGCTTTAAAAGCTAGCACATTACGGCCTTGTGTGATCCCAAGATTCATGAGTGTGTTTGAGAATTAGCCAAAATCTCATAGGTAGCGGCCCCACTACCACACTCACATAGGTGAATTCTGTCAAGGATGCTCTTGTAACTATGACACCCCACTCAATAAGAGCTACAGAAATTCATTAAGAGTTCTTTTAATAACTCAACCTCTACAATGTTACAAGATTAATGCAGTTACATCATAGGGATGGGTAAAAAGTAATTTAGTGCATTTCTCACGGCCATCATATGATCGTTTTTCTCATTGAACCCAGTTACAGGATCTCTGGTCCCTGGGTTGAGTATCCTCATACATGGCTCCTACTCTATTCAATAGGCTTCAACCCCATCCCCCTCGATGTATTCCAGACTCTATCTCTTGCTAAGGCCTTAGTTAATGGATCTGCAAGATTATCACCAGATTTAATATAATCCACATTTATGATGCCATTATTCATATAAAATCTCACAGTACTGTGTTTTCTTCTGATAGGTCTGAATTTACCATTATAATAACGGTTATTAACTCGACCAATTGCTGCGGTGCTATCACAATGAATCAATGTAGGTGGAATCAGTTTTTCCCAACAAGAGATTTCATTTAACAAATCTCTTAACCAATTTGCTTCTTCACTAGCTGTAACTAAAGCAATAAGCTCAGCCTCCATTGTTGAATAAGCAATAATGGTTTGTTTTTTCGATTTCCAACTTATAGCACCACCTCCCAATGTAAATAAGTAACCAGTGGTTGATAATGAATCACCTGACAAGGTATTCCAATCGACATCACTGTAACCTTCAAGTACTGCAGGATACTTATTATAAAACAAGCCATATTTTATGGTACCAGATAAATATTTCATAATACGCTCAATGGCTAGCCAGTGATCACTGTCAGGCTTGCTAGTAAACCTGCTAAGTACTCCAACTGCATATGCAATGTCAGGTTTAGTGCAGTCAGTCGCATAATGCAAGCTACCAATCATACTAACATATTCCTTTTGATTAATTACATCCTCATCATTTTTAATAGGAAATAACGCACATGAGGATCAAAAGGAGTAAGAACATGCTTGCAGTTATAAAAATTATATTTTCTCAAAATTTTCTCAACATAATGCGACTGATCAAGAAATATACCATCATAGGTTTTGGTAATTTTCATTCCCAAAATATAATTAGCCTCACCAAGATCTTTCATATCAAAATGGCTACTAAGCATATTTTTAGTTTCTACGATGATATGCAAATTAGAGCTAAATATAAGTAGATCATCCACATAGAGGCTAATAATGACATGTGAATTCTCTTCAGATTTATAGTAAATGCGTTTATCACATTCATTCGTTTTATAGTCATTCTCAATCATGCAGGAATCAAATTTCTCATGCCACTGTTTAGGGGCCTGTTTTAAGCCATATAGGGATTTAACTAGCTTGCACACTTTGCTTTCTTGACCGGGTTCACAAAACCCTCAGGTTGATCCATATAGATTTCTTCACCCAGGTCTCCATTTAAAAAAGCTGTTTTAACATCCATTTGATGAATTTTTAGATCATGAATTGCAGCTACTGTAATTAATAATCTAATGGATGTAACTCTAGTAACCGGAGAAAATGTATCAAAAAAGTCAAGAGCTGCTTGTTGTTTAAAACCTTTTGCAACAAGCCTTGCTTTATATTTATCAATAGTTCCATCCGGTTTAAGTTTTTTTCTCAAAACCCATTTACAGCCAATAGTTTTACA